GAAGAAGAAATGACATTTTAGGAATTCTTTTGTTGAGTACAATAAGGTTTCAAGAAAAATTTACTGAGAAAAATGTAAAGACACCTGCAATGAATGCAGACCTGTCGCAATGTTTAGAGATAGATTCGAATTCATAATGTCAAATATTCATTGTTGTGATAATGAACGTTACGATTGTAATAATCGCGTTGCAAGAATAAGACCATTTTTCACTTTACTAAACATAAAATTTCAAGAAATGGTACCGCACTGCGAATGTCACTCTGCCAACGAAGCAATGATGCCATATTATGGTCATTGTAAACAATACATTCGGGGGAAACTAATTAGATATGGCTACAAACTCAATGGAGATATAATACAGTAAAATCTGTCAAATCTGGAATCTAGCGGGTCACAAAACATTTCCGGTTTAGGGAGTTTCTGTTTTATGCAAGGTTGTCCTTTTATGACACATGTGATATTAACGTTTCTGCCCTGAAAGTAGTAGACCTAAATTACATGACTTCATTATAATTATCAAAATACATTAACATGTAACGTATTTATGGATGAAATCAACAACAAATGAGAATTAAATACTCGTCATTAACAGCTTCTGAGTTGAAAAATGCACGCCTTACTGGCTAAATTCGGTCAGTTTGCTGACTCTTTCAATGTACAATGCGTCACAAGCCAGTACTATGACTTTCTGATACTCTCACATGGCCTTGAGCAATGCGTATCTGGTCGAGGGGTTATGATTTTCAACGCGGGTCAGGGAGACGCATGAACAGAAGTCATGCCGGTGCACCTTCCCTCGTGACTTTTGCATATTATAGACAATCCTGGCATCCAAGTGAAGACATTCCAGTGCCCGAAGTGTCATTTTCGGGATCGCTCCTGTAGCTGATATTATTATAGGCACTGTTGTCACTTTTCTGAAGTTTCACTGAGTTGCGACTTCATGAGCAAGATCGGTATACTTGTGGATCTTCGCTTGATATTTTCTCGATATGTTTTGGGTATTGGGTATTGATATATCGATAAGGAAGACCTGCTGATGGTTTCTATCAATGTAAGTTATATCGAGGCTATTGCCGCCGACGTGTCTGCAAGTAATAATGAAGCGATCCCAGTAGAGTGTGTGCTCACGACTTTCAAGCACGTTCTGAGGCACATATTTATAATACGGCACGGAAGTGGCGAGTAAGCCCGGTTTCAATGCCAATAATTGGTATACCTGCTTCGCATGCCTCTTTTTGTTTTCCAACTGTGCGTGGCTGCTACATCCACTTGTCACGTGTTGGATAGTTTCACTTGCAGCCTCACATCTTCTACACGAGTCGGAATGGATGGTAGAATCTCACAGAATGTGTTTTCTGTAGTTCAATATTGGCACCACTTGGTCTTGGATAGCTATCATGAAGGCTTCTGTCTCCGGAAAGAGATCCCCGTGCTTGAGCCATCCGTGCGACGCAGAGATGTCGACTTCTGGTTTTCTCAGCTCGTGGGGGTACCTTCCATGCAGTGCCTTCGCTTTCCGTAAGGTTATCTTCTCTTCCGTTTCAGTGATTGGCTGAACAGGCGGATCTAGCTTTTTCATGTTCAGAGGACTACAGTTATTATTATTATTATTATTATTATTATTATTATTATTATTATTATTATTATTATTATTATTATTATTATTGTTGTTGTTGTTGTTATTATTACTATTATTATTATTATTTAACTTATATTTTTATATTTTTTATTTTTAAGCTATTTATTCAATTAAGGTAAATTTATTAATAAACATTCTATGTTAAAGACAAATATACCATTTTGTTGAGTATCCTATGCACTGTATCCCGATATACTGTCCTTCTAGAATGTCACCCTCCTGTGAATTTTTTAAATGGCATATTGCAAACAAATAATATATTTGAGTTCAGATATTTTTTCTTAATATAATAAAACAAAAACATCGACTAAAACAAACAAAAATTTTCAAGCATATCTGGGTCAATACCTTTCTCAAACAACAATCAATCCATAAACTGGGCACCACATATCCACTCAATTCTATCATACCCTACCTCAGATCCCTCACATCACCCCTTTTACACTCTGCAAAAATCCCCCTCACAGAACTAGAATCAAAGCCGATTTACATTCCACACTTTTTTAATCAAAATCGCTGACCTAAGTTGTTTATAAAAGCTTCTCCGTAGAATTCCTTAAAATGTTTAGATTTACGTTATTTTAAGTACTTTAAATTATGTCTACTCTTCATATGTATAGTTCTGTGTAATACTGATCTATGTAAACAGAATCAAAACAATAAAATACAATTTAAAAATGGATAAAATAAGTAATATAATATTACTTTACTGTTAACAAATACAAAAGCTTCCAATGGCTACTATAAAGCGCTGCGTATATTACTACGCTGGTCGCGAAAACTTATTCAATCGTGTTACAACGTGGGCAATTTTCGCACGGGTTCAGCTGGCATACTATTACTAATCGTTACAAATAATAAGAAAAAATATTGTGTTGTAGCACTACTAGTTTTGCCTCTTTTTACTGACCTGAATAGAAAATTACATACAGTTTAGAGTGGATTTTGGAGTGGAGCTATTCTCTTTATTTCCCTGATTGCAAATGATGTACTTGCACAAATATAAAAAAGTACTAGGCGAATTAACATGTCATTATGATAACATGTAGCCTATTTTTGTGGTTTGCACAAACTAAATTAATAATTTAAAAGCGTAAAAGGATATTAAAAACAATTATAATAAAATAAAACCTTTTATTATCTAGATGTGATAAATATCGGTAAAACAAAATGTACTCCCGCAACAATGGTTTTAGGAACACCTGAATTGGAATGTGTATAAACTCGCGTGAAACATTTTTCTATGTACACAAGTAACAGTATGGAATTAGATTTGACGTAAATTGATCTGTTCTGAAAGCTCTTTGCTCATCAGAAAACGATAATTAAACTAGTCTGATTTAATTGAAATCGAAGGCATCTCTGGCCAAATTTATATTTAATCCAAGAAGACTAGAACGTTGGCCAACAGTCTAAGATATTTCACCCAGAGACAAAAGATGTAAAATCTCTCATCTCTAAAATCTCTCTAAATCACTTTCTTCAAGTCTGTATTTTGCGATAATAATGAATATAACTGACACAGAAAAAATAAAAAAAAGTCAATTAGCCAAATTATAATTTGGGAGCTTCTAAAACACTCAAATTTGGTTTTATGATTGCTTCTTAATATATCATTTCTTATCGAGCTTCAAAACACAAATTTGAGACTTTTCAACCTTAAACATTTTATCTGCACCCTTAGAAGTCATCTGGAAGCTCAAAATCAATTAATTCACAGATTGGAGAGTAGTTTTTAAGTAATTCTTCTGCAGCTGCGAAGACTCCTTCATTTAAATCAGAGTCCTCCTCTGAGAAGATATCATACTTTTTTATATGTCCTTGATCTTGTTGGTAGTCATGATTATCAGTTATAAGTTTTTCTACGGTATTGTTTTCTACTGAGTCTATTCCAGCAATGTTCCATTTTTGATTCAATGTAATAGGTGTGGTAACGGCTGCACTTTCAGATGTAACTAAGGTTGTGGGACTTTTGGGCCGACTGCTGCTATAAGCTAGTCTATTGTAATTTTCAAAAGCTGTTGATTCAGATATATTATCAAAATTGTCAAAATAAGAGTATTCAGATTGAATAGAGTCATCTTCCCTAACATCTGTAGTAGATAATATTGGACAGGCAGGTTTATGACACTCATGTGTTTTGGTATGTACCAAAGGAATTAGAAACTTCTCAAATTCAAGCCAAGTACGAGAATGTATTGAATGTTCTTTTGTGGAAATTAGATTACTAGATGTGAAAGGCAACACAAAAGACTGTTGGAGGGCACTTGTTGCAGAGGTCTTCGTTGTATTCCCATTTTGAGGAACTGAAGTGCCGACCCTCGAAGCCTGGCATGCAGCATCTTGACAGCAATCGTGTTGCGCACAGCGCCTGGGTCGAACTTCTACTGTGATGCTTGATGTTTCGTAGAGAAATGCCCAATTGTTGTCATGATCATCTTCAGTCAGACATGACACTAGGTAGTGCTGTGGAAGACTAACGCAGGAATTATCACAACCTGATGATGACTTGCCAAAACTTGAATCATTGTCTTCAAGACTCTCCCAGATGGGTTTTGCTTTTCTTCGTGGTGTCTCTAGGAACTGATTTGTGGGAGCGTTATTTGTATTTCTATTTTTGATAACTTTTCTTTTCTTATCACACACACGGGCTACATTCGTTATAGGCAATTCCTTTCCTTGAAGCGATATGTGTGAATCTGTTTCATTCAGTATTTTGTTTACATCTTTTCTTTTTTTCGTGGAAGTTCTGTTTTCTTGGAGTGGAAATGTCGAGCGAAGTGGTCTTGAATATCTTTGGTTACCTTTTAAAAGAATCCTCATTTTGTTCAGGGTACGTGGATGAGTTTATTTCAGTTTCACCTAGAACAGAAACATGTATTTTATTTTTCTTATTAAGAAATGCTAGTCTCCTTATTTCTGAGTATAAATATTTAGTGTTAAACTTTTTTTTAGGATTAACAAAAATTATTTACTGTAAAGAAATGGACCAAGAGGTATTCAGCTTGGAATTTATGATATAGATATGTATGAAGTAAAGTACACTGAAGAGCCAAAAAACTGGTACAGCCATGCGTATTGAAAAAAGTTCTGGAACTAGCCAAAAGATTCTCCAGCGTTGATACTACTGTCATGTTATAACTTATGGTTTTCAGCTACCTTTTCTTTGCTACTTAATATTATTGTCCTCCGAATCAGGAGGGAGTCATCTTGCCGAGCTTCTCTCACCATTTTGCACTTCCTCTTCTCATGTTCACACTTCCAGCGGTGGCTCTAGACGTGCGCCCTTGGAGCCCCACCGCTGCCCTTGGAGGAGGAATTTTTCGAGGGTTAATTGCTCTTAGACAAATCTTCAATTCGCTATGATATGTGTTATTTTGTGAAACACGGTCTTGGATGGTTCAATTGTTGAGGAAACCTAGAAATAGAAGGAAATATTTCATTAAATCTAAAAATATTGACCCCTCAACACAGGGCGGTTTAACCCTTGCGGAACCGCGAAGCTCTCTTTGTGTAAGGACTCTTCTCTATTTTTAACCTTAATGTTTCCTTACAAGCGACGTATTATTTGAGAAAAAATACTGTGGAATTTCCCAATATACTCAGCGCTTCATAAAAAACGAAATATACTAAACAAAACCAAATTTCGAAGAAAATAATGGTTTATCTCCATATTAATAATATATTACCACAAATGAGTGGTTATGACTAAGATAAAAAATACAAAATGACTTTTCCAATATTTTTCTTAATTTTTTAGCGTAATATAACTTCATTCAATCTATATTGAGAGCCATAACCTATGGACAAAGAAAACAATAGAATAGGAATCATTATTTTAACCCGTGTGTAGTCGGAAAAACAATTTTTCTCTGCCTGAGAAAGAGAAAAACATATTTTTTTCTTTTCTACTTTTAACCTTCCGTTTGTCGGATATTTCATTTAATAATTCACCTATTCTTGACCTTTTTAAATATCTTATTTTTTAACACCGATTTAATTTAGGACAAAAAATCTCTATCTTAAATATTGTAGTTTTGCAATTTCGAAAATACGGAGAGAATACGAGGAGAAATTTAAAGAAAATATTTTGAATAGTTTTTGAGAAATAATTAAAAATGCCTATACTTCACGCAAAATTACATTAAAACTACTCAAATTTTCGAAAAGATGACCTTATTTCAACATTTGTTTTTAAAAAAAATATTTCATTTACGAAAAAATCTCTAGCCTCAATTATATTGTTGTAGGAAAACTCCGAAAAAAATTGAACTTTTGCAATTTTCGAAAAATTAGTACTTCAACAAAGATGAGACCTGCGCCGTTCTTTGAAGCGTCTTTTACGCTATCCGAGAACAAAGTTTAATAAACAATTGGAGCCATTTTCTAGAAAATGATGAAAATGTTTTCGAGGCTTATGTAAAGTACTCCCTTAGACTATTAAGGCCCTTAAAGGCTTAGGTAAAATTCAAAATATCCGTTTCAAACTCGCGGGATGTCGAGTTCCTTGAAATCGACCGGGAATATCAATTTTGGAGAAAATTATCAGAAGGGTTTAGGAGCTAGCGTTGACTACAGTCGGACGGACAGACAGGTGACAATTAGTCGGACGGACAGAAGTTTTGCCGTTAATTGATATTTTGGCATCAAAGATCCATAAAACGTGCATTGCGACTACGCAACGTGATAGGGGAAATAATTTACGACGTATAGGAACGAGATACACTAAAATCTTACTAAACCGGAACCTGGACAAGCCGGAAACCTGCCTTAACCGGAAGTTTTCTCAGGCCCCTGAAGGTATATGGCATCTTACACAACATAAAACGGAACCTTTTCAACGAGAAAATGGAAGGGTTTTTAATGTACTGCAGAGAAAAAACTTATAAAAAGGACTTTCTGTGAATTTAATGCAATTTGCTGAGAGATGTGAGAATCTCTTAATAGAATAAATGCATCTGAAAGTCTGTTTTAATTTATCTGTTACTGCAATGTGAGCTTCAGTCCTGGCAGCTGGAAAATGGTGAGGGCTTCAGCTCTAAGCGTAGAATTCGATCTTTTGGTAACCTGCCTCTCAAGGTGTATACGGTAGGGGAATTCACTCCCTCCCTGTTCTCTGGTAGTAGGAATTTGTGCGGGCATGGCTTCTGTTCACACACCTCTCGACCCCGCGATGAGAACCATGAGCTCTCGGCCAGAGCCACATTGGTCAAGGCCATGCGAGGGTATCAGAAATATATAGTGCTCTGGGCTATGATTCATTGTGCGTTGAAGAGAAGACCAGCAGTCCGCAACCCACTAGAGAATAAGGTGGTGTGTTTTTGTGAGTTTCACATTTGGTTAGCAGTTTAACAATGGTTGGAAAAACATATAACTCTAAATATTACAATTTTCAACTTCTGAAAACAATAGAAATGTGTTAGTAAGTGGGAAACCAAAAGTAAAAACTCTTTCTTTCAATTGTCAGAAATATGTTTAATATTAATTTATTGGTGATTTCTTCCATAAATACGTTATTTGATAATATATTTTTATAATTACAATAAAGTCATGTACTTTACTAGTTTCAGCATGAAAAGATCAGGAAAAAATGAGAAACCTCCTTAAACCGGTAAATTTTTTTTCGCGATCGATTTCGGCTTAGTATTATTGTATATCCACGTTTCGTTACGACGATCTGATAATACAATTTTGTCAGAAAATCGCCTATTTCCGCCACAGCATTGCAATACTTTCTCTTCACTATGTACGTACGTTGTAAAGTGAAAAAGTTAAAATAGAGAGGGAGAGACGGAAACGTGTGGAAGGTGATGTGTACCATTGCCAATGCGAAGAGATAACGTCCGGTTGTCGTAGCAAACAGCTACTTTGACAGCTTTCCCCAGTGACCCCTGTCAGGCAGGCCGGGCCACGCCAGGTCTGCCAGCCCACACCATCCTCTCTCAGCATCCAGGCGTTGAATGACACATGTCCTTCAAAAACCACAAATATTGTAATGTTAATGTAAACAAATGTTAATGTACATATATGTATTATGTATGTATATGTATTATATATGTATATACATACATACATGTACACATACAACCCTTCCCTCCTAAAACAAATTGATCTCTCGATCCGCCCCTGATGTATATTACAGAGAAAACGTAAGGGGGTCTATGAAGCAAACAATTCTCTTAAAAGGAGCCGATGAAAGAAAAAGGTCGGGAACCCCTGTTCTACCACAACGCTTTGCGTGCGGATGTAAGATCAAATGTAACTAACGCGAGCAGGCTCATGTTAACGAGTTCGGGGAAAACCTCAGTGTCACACGATCCGATTCTTGATATCTGGGAATTGAAGCCACTAATGATAGCCCTTAAGAAAGGAATGTTTCTATCAGTATAATTGCTTGAAATAAGAGTACTTGATACAAGAATATCGAGTAGCAATTTTTCTCGCTCGTTCTCGATGCAAGTGATTTTCGCAGGCTTTTCGTGTAGACTTTCTGGCTTACAAAGACAGGAGAGAATATGAGGGTTTTGACATATTTTCCCTCTTCTCTCCCTTCATTGCCGATTTTTTTTCTGTTTAAGTTCTTTGTTGCGCTTCTATGGAACTTCGTTTGCATTTCTATAAAACACGGGATTCCGGAGAGACCGCCCCGCCACTCTGGACTTAATTTTGATTCGCGTGGACATCAATTAAAGTGAAGCCATTATTTACATTCCACAATCATATAATCTAAATTCCCTGGTCAGATACTTTGGTTTTTGTTGTTTCTGAAGGTTTATTACACTGCTTTTCTGAGAATAAATGTTGCAAATTTCTAGCGCAGAAAGATATCGAAGATAATAAGATTTTGTCATTGAATATGTGGTGAGAAATCATAACGAAAGTGCATGTTCTTCATATGTCATTTACCCTTGACTGTTAGGCAACTCTCCATGCTCTAGTGTTCTGCAGATTTTTTTAAGGTCGCATTAATAGCTTTTGAAATGGAAGTGGCATCAATTTCTTCATGGTTGCTGCTGTTAACAATGATTTATAGACTTCAGATTATAGATTGAGAAACTTGTCTGTTCTTACCAAAGACAGTCTTTATATCTACTTCTCCATCGTATGATACATGTTATAAGGATAGTTAGGGAACTAAATATAAATTTTTAATTTTTGAAAATTATTTATTGAAACAGGAATATACACCATGAATATAAATTGGTCAGTAAATATATAATGTTGCACAGTAATGTTGCACTCTACGTCTATCAATTATAATGACATTACAATAAATTACTCGGTGATCCTGCAGTAATTACACAGTAAATCTCTCTTTAATTTGTAAAACAATTCATACGAGGAAGCTAATATTGTACGCCACTTTCCATTACAAATATATAATTAATAATGCTCCAACATCAGCCGAGTAGTACAGGATTAATATTTATTACACAAGTTGAACACACTCTTGTAATGCTAAGACATATTGTGAAAAAATTCAAGTTTATTTAGTATTAAAATTAGTGTATTGTGTCCAAGAGTAATTGAAATTGCCTGTGAGCTTTAGGCAGAAAGATATGGTGCCATTTGTCTAAAACCAGTATTATTAACAGATAATCACTTTGTTACAAACGGACTACAGAAAACTGAAACAATATTAAAAAGACCAAATACATGTAAATTAGATATGTTAGAATTGTAGCATTAGCACTTGTGTGAAAACTAAGAATTACAAGAATAATTTCGAATTAATAATAACAACAATAAACTGATTATATATGATCCTCTCCCTAGGTGAAATTATTCTTTTGAATGGTTAAAACAATGTTGAGAGACCATAAAACTAACTACATTTTTGATATTACAAAATCAATTTCTAATTATAATTAAACTTCAAAATTATCATGTAAAATTGTGTGAACAAAACTTGATTCAACAAAATAATTAAAAAAGTAATCACCTGCAAATATTAAACCTGCTCTCAAACTGCAATACATTTTTTTGGCAATTTCGTCCTTTGTAAAATTGAGAAAATAAGTTACTGGATACTTCCTTTTGCATGTTTTCAGAGTTTCTTCGTTTTTCTTTCTACCTTTTTTCTTTCTTTGTTTTCTCTCCCTCTTTTTTGCGTTTGACAATGGTTTTGAGAGACGTCCTGTAAATATACATGATTTGACAGAAGAAAATTTGATTTATAGATGGCTAATTATAATATTTAGTTAACGATAAACCACAATACCACCACTATTTTCATTATGAAAATTACACTTGTCAGTTTTAAGAGATCAGAATTAGAAATAATAAAAATTAATCTTACCTGTAATGCTTTTGCCACTCGTACGTCAAACATATGTGAGTGACATTGACTCCTTCTTCCACTGATTCGTGCCATAAACTACAAAATAAATTTACAATTTTTTGAAGTAAACTTTGAATTCGCGTTATATTTAATGGCGAAAATTTGTTGTAATAAGTGGTAAACTGTGAATGAAATATGACATTACACTACTGATAAAGGCGATAGATGACCTCAAAAACACTGATCCCGTATCAGTTTGTACACTGCGTAGTAATGTAAAATCCAGTTTTAATCCCTTTCTCTGAAGAAAACTAGACATTATCGGGTACATTCTTGAAGATCCAGTGAAGGCAAGGCAATGTTTGATCCTACAAGAATTGTCAAATAGTCAATAGTACTATCATACGTCAAATAGTACTAGATAATGTCAAATTTTCTTCAGAAAAATGTCACAGACACCATATCAAGTCGCAATTTGAAACAAATTTAGTGTTTTAGATTATGAAACACATATTCCTCGCCTTCCCGATCCTCACAACTCTCTCAAACCAACGCAAATAGGCTAGGAAGCGCGTTAAAATCAAAACACGTAAAGCTGCTAATCCTAGTCCACTTGAAATCAAATACATTCATACTGAGCCTAAAAACAAGTACTTATTTTAGCTGACAGCCATGGTCGCCATCTTTTCTCCATTCTCAGTAGGAAGTTACCCTCCAACTACTCAGTCTGACCTATTTTTAAACCTAACGGGAGGTTTGCAGAGGTGACTGCAGAGTCCGAGACCCACATGAAGACACTGACCAATCAGAGCACAGTTATCATATGAGGGCAGAATGATATTAATTTGGGCGGTAACTTTACACCTGAACAACATGTCAACAAATTACAATGTGCCGCCCAAAATACTAACATTGTAGTCTCGACTGTGCCCTTCTGGTACAACAGACCAACTGAAAGAAACAACTGTAACACTTTTTAACACTTTTTTTGAAATTAATTTCCTCTCAGCAAAACACTTCACCCATTCATGTTCCCCGCATGAACCTTGTTGGAAAACATGCAGTCGGCAACAAGCTTGCACAACACGTTATCAACTCTAGTCCTACACAGTCTCCAGCCAAAAATCCATCCCTTCCACCTTCCGTTCTCCACCCCAACCCTTATTTCAAATCCTCTTACCTCCGCCCCTGATCCTACTTCCGTTTTTCCCATTCCCACTACCCATTCACCTACACCTGATGCCCAGATTTCCTCACAACCTGTCTCTCCTGGGACACATTACGAACTTCGACCACGTTCTTGAGTTAAAAATGGAGTAAATATTGTATATAGCAACTACAGTCAGATGCAGTAGAAAAATATCCATGTAGGTATTTGCAAAAGATACACATACTGCACCATAATGTTCAATCCCTTAAAAAAAAGAGTTTATCGAAGAAGATCAGTTTTTACCTGTTTATGACGTAAATAAATAAATGAATAAATACATAAAAAAGTTGTCTTTAGGAATTCCAGCTAAATCAAAGAAGTCTGTATGAGACAACTCTACAACTCTAAATTTCCTTTTCTTACCAACTGAACATACCTTGCTGTACACGATCAAGTCAGAGTACTTCACTTCTACTATGTTTCACTTTGGAACTAATAGCACAGTTTTGGCAAAAATTAACAATTATATTCGTTTCTCTTGTAAATAGTAAACAATTTACATGGTTCTAGTGTGTTGATATACTTCTGCAATGCAAATGTTTACCTAGAAAGCATTTTTTCAAACATTTGAGTGCTTATTGCGGCTTAGCCATTCAGAATATCGAAGTATTTTAGTAGACAAAATATGCTTAAAATTGTCTCAAGAGCTTATTTTCGAAGTTTCAGCGCCTCGTTCCTGGATACCTGTGTAAACTTACACGACATAGACCAAAAGATTGAACATATTTTCAGGAATCAGATCGTGGATTTATCTCATTTTGACCATTTTCTGACTTTTACTCCTTTTACCTAGCAGCCTAGATATTGTTATCAATTCAATTTATCTCAATTGTGTACCTCTCACAGATACAGTGGTTTTAAAAGCAAAGATATTTATTTATTTTCATATTATTACGGGAAGCTATGGAGGCGTAAAAAGGTCAGTGTGGCGCACGCTCGTCCTTCTCTATTGCTTTTGTCGCCTCTCCCCAATTTTCATTTTTTTATTTCGTTCAACTGCACAGTCAAGTATCGGAATTTTTATAAGATTTTTTATTTACCAGGAATAACTGCCGTTTTAGAGCCGGACTGAGTGTCGTATATATAGATCAGTTGCTTGAAGAAGACATTCAAGACATCGTTGGTGATGGTGGTGGTAATGGTGATGTCAGTATAAAAGTAGAAGATATTTTCATTGCACCCCCGCCAGCGAACGAGATAACTGGCGAAGAAGTTATGATGAGGACATAGGAATTATGCTGGATAATTTGAGTGTCAATTGTTGAGTGAAGCTGAGGCAGTTTTGGCTAATGGAATTCGCGTTGGAGGCCTGATACACGATTTCTCGGGATATTCCACAAAACGAAAACGCGTGGATAGATGGATATCTAGAGTTGATTTAATAAAAAATATGGGTTATTTTCTGAAGTATATGCCGACAAATAGAAAAATTTGACTCCCGTTGAAATTTTGAAGATCTTTATAGATGAAGAGATTATATCCCTTTTCCTCACAAATCCAATAAATATGCATTGCCAAAAAATGAAAATAATATGAATGTTACGCAAGAAGAGATAAAGGCTTTTCTCGGTATTCTGGGATCCTTTCTGGTTATAATGTTTTGCCAGGAGAAAAGTTATCGGGATACCAAAAATGATACATGAAGAATATTAGTCTCTGAATTATGCGGAGGGGGAGATTTTTATTGATTGCAAAATATTTTTACATTTCTGATAATTCTGATGTTGAAAATAATGAAAGATTATTCAAGCTTTAGTCACTCATAAATCTTCTCAACAAATATTTTATTGCGAAATTTCTTGAATGTTCATTTCTAGAACACGACAAATCTACGGTGAAGTACTTTGGCCCACATCCTTGTAAGCAATTTATTTGTGGTAAACCTATAAGGTTTGGGTACAAAGTATTGTGCCTGGATACATTCTACGGGTACCTGATACATTTTGAAGATTATCAGGGGAAAGAACACACTAGTGACAAACCCTGAATATGATAAGAATTTGGCAAAGCTAGAACCCACTTCATTTCATTCTTAGATGAATTGACCATAAAAAGTTATGTTTATCATATAGTTACAGAACAGTTATCAGACTTGAATCTCAAGCATTTATAAGAACGCGGGTTCTCAGACACTAGAACTATTAGATAAAAAAGACTCCCAAAGATTGCAAGTTGCCATCTCAAGAACAAATAATGAAGATGGAACGTGGAATATTCCTAATTACAATAGACAAAAATGATGGAATTCTCTTTGGGAAATGGATGGATAATAGTGTGGTTGCAGTTGCACTAAATTCGCTAGGAGTATTTTCAGTAAAGCATGTAAATTGATATTTATAAAGAGACATAATGTCCCTTAGCTAGCAATTGTTAGCGTATTCAATAGAATTATGTGTGGTACCTATCAAATGGATCAATATATAAATCATTGAGGAGAGAAATAATACTGGGCAATATTGACGGAGATCATAGATGCAGCGATAAACAGTGCTTGTCAGATTTACAAGACAGGAAGGAAAATCATTGAACTGCAATTCAGAAAAGACATTACCATCACAAATCTCAAACCATCACAAAAATATAAAACAGCTGTCAAATCTGTGGTCCAACGGCTCTGTCGTCGAATAGGTCAACACGCGTTTTGGACGTTCGCTATCATCGCGCTTTTCATCTACTTGGGGAAGTGTAACATAAAAAAAGGTGTGCCAATAATGGAGACAAAAAGGAAGTGTCAATGTGCATGAAATGTGAATTTGGTTTGTGCTTAAAATTCAATGTACCGTTCCATAAACAACTAGTTTTGTGATGTTTGAAATCATAAACTTTGTTAAGAGATCTGAATAGAGAAGTGTAATTTGTTTACTAATTATATTGTAGTCAGGCAGAAGTCCTTCCGTGCTGGCGGGCCAGTGTTTCAGTAGGGGGAAACTCATTCCGTAGATTGTATCATCAAACCTCAGTCAGAAGAACCAGCATTCGGCAACGGTTTGGATACCGAGCAAAAATGTATGTGAGTGTATTGAATTAAAAATAAAAGTTTATATTGATTTTATTATAGGTATATTGCATTATAATAAAAGTTCATAGAAAAATACGGTACAAATATGATTCGCCTGTAGAATGAACTTAAATTTGTTACATATTCATAATTATGGCCAATCAAGGGTCAGAGATCATAAACACCGAAATAAAATACGACAATTTAAAAGATATACTTCCAAGAGTATAAGACGTACTTCCAAGAGTATTTTTGTTTTCTAAACAAGTATAAATTCTTTTTATTGAATTACAATTTATAGATTTCTTTTTTGTTACGCAATATACGGTTTCTTAAAGGATTTACCTCAAAACGTTATACTTCTTGAGTAGTTAAATAACGCAGAAATGCCCTACTGTAGCACTTTGGTAACTTTCTTCGATCACACTGTAATGAATGGATTCGGATTTAATGTTAACTACGAAGAGGGGTGATAAAATACTGACTTCAGGATTTTATCTGTCACTGAAGAAGTTTACACAGAAGCACTGGAAGTTTGCAGGGGCTATCAACTACGAAGATAACCAATACGCCTTTCGGAATTATAGCTACCGCAGATGTTTTGCGTAGGCATAGAATTTAAAACCTCTGAGTGAACATACTTTTAAATCAGAAATAACATTTTGCGATTGCAATGTTACTTCTGATATTTAGTAGAGCTGACGCCTGACTACGTCTCTGGCATAGAAGTCCATTTCTAGGCGCAATTTTTCGATGGTTGCCAGTGTCTGGCGAATCCTTACTGCCGAATAATTGTGTGGTTCACTGTTACATTTTATCAAGCCCACTTTATAAAGCTCGTAAAAACTTACCTACGTTTACGTAGAAAAGTAGTTAATATTACGACGGATCGGTGATTCTTTGACACGAAAAATCGTATTGTGGGGCCTCGATGACGCAAAAGTAAATAAACCGTGTTCATACATGTAGTACATTACTTTTTTTTAACACGTTGAAAAGTCAGAATCCATGTTTTGTAGATCATAGACTCTGTCTGTCAGATATAAGGGACACTGTCTGTCTGTCCGTTGTCAACGTCTAAACCATTCAGGCGACTGTCTCAAAAATTGATATTCCCCTATCGAACTGAACGAATTAGAAACCCTGCAAGTTTGAAATTTTTATTATTATTTTCGGGAATACTATACATCAAGTCTCAATATTTTCAAAATCATCTCAAAAATAGAATCAATTATTTTGTCATCGGATAACTTTAAGAACGTATGAAGCTTAAACGTTTGAATTTTGAACAAACTAAGATTTTAATTAAAAAAATGAGTTTTTATACTTTATCCACCTTACTATAATACTTTCGTTGCTTTGATTATTTAATGATAACGTTAACTCTTATTTCTCTACTTAGTATGTGTATGAAAATTCTCTGAAATTAAGCAATTGTTCAATAAACAACAGTTTTCGGCAAGTATCATTTCGTTCTGGTATGTAGTCATTACGCACTTTGCCAGTCCAAAGAATTCTCAAAATTCTCTTGATCATCAACATCTCAAATGTCTCCAGTTTATTAATTCAGTTTCTACAGTTTTCCATTCTCCATCTGAGGGTAAACCTCAAGTCTCTGCTACATCGAAAATTCCTCATTTTGTTGAATGTGGATCTTACCATTTCAATTCTCATTTTTATTTCCAAATTTAATGTCCATTACTCATTTCAAATTTGTCCCAAATATTTGTACTGTGAAACCTGTTCAATATGTTGTTCATTGATGAGCAGCTGAAATGGACTTCCACCTTTCTTACTAATAAGCATGGACTTTGTTTTATGTACATTTATTTCTAATTCATAATCTTTGCTAGTTCGATTTATCCTGTTTATTATTTCTCGCGGATTCTCAGCAGTGTCTGCCAAGATGAGTGTATCAGCTTCGTAACGTATATTAGAAATAGAAATACCATTCACTTTTACTCCCATATTACAATCCTCCAAGGCATCTTTAAAAAAAATATTCTGAATATAGGTTAAATAGAAAGAATGTATCCATGTCTAACATATTTTCTCACATCCACTTCGTCAGTAAGCTGCTGATCAACTCGCATTTGAGCAGTTTGTCTCCAATATAAGTTCTTTATGATACGTATATCTTTTAAATATAAGTTAATACCCTCTAAAATATGCATAAGCTTATCGCGTTTAGCATTATCAATAGCTGTTTTAAACCTTTAAAACATAAAAATACTTCTCGTCCTTGATCCAATCATTTCTGTAATAAAACTTGAGTAAACAGGGCTTTCCGTGTTCCAAAAGCATTTCTAAAACCAAATTGTGTATTATTTCAATTTCTAACTTTCTCCAAATATGAGCATGTATGATACGCAAAAATATCTTGAGTACATGACTCATCAAACGTATCGTCCGATAAAGTCCTCATGCATCTCATTTAACATCTTTATCTCCCTACATTGTGAAGCATAGTACCTTTCTGTTCCGCGGTTCAGATTTTAGATCTTATCTTTTTCTGCAAATCCCTGTACTTCTGAAGACTACACTTTTCGATCTTTCGGCGCTCAGTCATCATTGCTCTAATTTCATCTGTCATAATTTTTTAAAGCTGCTGTTGCTCTTGCATCGGGTTATTTTCCGTAACTTCATTGAACACTTTTTTAAATCCTAGCTACGTTTCCTCTATACTACTTCCCTGTATTTTACATATTTCTTCGTTGAGTTTGCAAGAGATTTCTCAGGCTACATCATCAAAGTTCAACAATTTTAGATTCAGTTTCCTGTTTATATTATGTGATCTATGTCTTATTAATCTTACCCTTACATTCACAACAACAGGATTATGATACGAGTAAATGTCTCCGCTCGGATATGTTTTGACACCCTTCACATCATTTCTAAAACGTTTATTGATCAAAATAAAATCTATTTGATTGCGAACAACATTGGCGTCTTTGTCTTGAGGAGATATCCAAGTACATAAACGTCGTTTGGGCAGTTTAAACCACGTACGAGTATTTGTAACCACAAGATCCGAATGTTGACTAAACTCAATTTATTGATTGCATCTCTCATTTTTAACTCCAAGTCCATAATCTCCCAAAATATCAAGAACTATTCCTTCTCCTATTTTAGCATTAAAATCTCCAAGAAAGATGTTGATATCTTGCTTTTTAATTATGTAGTAATTTAGTCAATATCCTCATATTTTTCAATTTCACTATTGGGGTTGTCAGCAGTAGGAGCATAGACTTAGATTATACTAATATTTATCGGATCTCGTTTTATTTTCAGAAGAATGCATCTATCAGAACGTGGAACGAAGTTACTTTTTTGCGAGTACCTTCTCTATTACAGCAGCTACCCCATTAAGGTATCCTTTAACATTGCTGCCAGAATAAAACATTACAATATCCTCTCTTCTCCGCCTGGGGGGGGGTACATAACCTTGACGTTGGCTTGAGTTCCCCTGTGATCCTGAGAACTATGCAGGCGGTATTGTGGCTACAGGTAGGGCTTCCCTTGCCGCACAGGTCGAAGGAGAGGGGTCAGAAAAAGAAGAGGACCTCAACACCAAGAAGAGGACTTTAGGAGGTAACTCCAGAAGAGGACAATGCATAGAAACCCATAAGCTTTGCGGATATAGTGAAGAGGCCCTCTAGCGTAGGAGAGGTGGAGAAGGGTATGCGAGACTCTTCAGGTAGCGGGAAGCCAACTCGCCTAGAGGAGACAACCTTGATAAAAATCCAGTCTCCTCCCTGCTTCGAAGTTGTGCGAAGGGCTGGTAACCCTGCCACGTAAAATACAATTACACTCGCAAGCTTCAAAGAAGATGCTCGGACCGAACTTATGACGAATTTGGCAAGAAAAAAAGATAAGAGATATGGAATAAAGGATATATTAAAGATTGCTGCTTGGAATGTGAAGGGTCTGTCAACAAAAGAACTAGAACTAGGTAGGGAACTAAAAGAGAAATAGGTAAATATAGCCATTATTTCAGAAATAAAAAAGAAACTTAAAAAAGAGACCTGGAAAATTATGTAATGATATATAGTGGGGTAGAACAAAAAAGAAGGGCTGTAAGTGGAGTCGCAGTACTTATTGATAACAAGTGGCAAAGCAAAACCGAAAGTTATACTTTGGTTAATGATAGAATATTGATCGTTCGATTAAAAATAGAAAGAAGGTATCTTACTATATTTGGTGTATATGCTCCTGAAGAAGGCAGGACAGAATTAACTGAAGAATTCTATGAAGTCTTTCAACAACATTATAATAAAGCCAATAAAAATGACTGCATAATATTGGCAGGAGACTTTAATGCCAGAGTAGGTAATATACCTATCCCTCTAATAGTTGGATCTTATGGAAAGAATCAGTTGAATAGAAATGGACGAGAGCTTAGAGAATTTGCCACCTTCAACATATTCACGATAATGAAAGCATTCTTTCGTAAGAGAGATATTCATAAGTATACATGGACAGCAAGAGGTCTGAGATCAATTATAGATTATATAACTGTGAATAAGAAATTAGCAAGTGACGTAAGTGATACACGAGTATATAGAGGAAGTGACATAAATTCAGACCATTACTTGTTGAAATCAGATATAGAAATCTTAGCGCGGAAGCGCTGGAAGAAGAAATATTCGAGTTACCATCAGAACCAGAAAAAGGCAGAAGTCTTCAAGGTCCATCTCCTGCGACAAGAGAGATAAAATATCTATATCAAACCAGAATGGCACAGAAGATTGAAGATACCATCACTAGCGACGATCTAGAAGAATAATGGGTAAATATTAAAACCATAATAAAAGACGCGGCTTCGGCAGCTTTAAGAAAATCCAGAAAATTTAGGAAACGGAAAGGTCTTAACATATGGAACGAAGAGATGAACAAGCCATAACACCAAAAAGTAGCATATATGAAGCATCTGCAAATGAAGACCGATGAAACATGGAGAGTATACAAAGCTAAAAGAAATATTGCCAAAGAAATAGAAATGCTCACCAATCAGTATGGGAAAGATTTATAACCTGATTAGAAATAACATTCATGGCAGACAGCAACTAGCAGATAAAGTATTTAGGCATATCAATAGTGAATTGAAAGGCACAGCTAATTTGAAAATTATAAATGAAAGTCAGTGGGTTGAACATTATCAAACTTTATGGTATAACCCTGAAGACGAAAATAGCCAATGTGAAATGCCTGTACAAGCTTCAGTAGATGACATTGATTTAAAAGAATTAGAAAGAGCAATAACGGGGATAAAAAATCGAAAAGCTCAAAAGGATTTGACGAAATAAATGTCGAACTAATTAAATATGGAGGTCTTCTGTTAAAACTAAGAATCCTCAACCTATTCAATTTATGTTGGAAGCAATGCCGTGTCCCTGAAGAATGGCAAAAAGCGAAAGTAATCTCATTATTTAAAAAAGGGAAAAGGAGCGATTGTGGCAACTATAGAGGTATTAGTTTACTGCCCACATGCTTTAAATAAAAGACTTGTTAATATCTCTGAAATTTTAATTATAGAAGAACAAAATGGTTTTAGAAAAGAACGCTCCTGTACAGATAATATTTTTACCATCCGACAACTAATAGAAAAGCGTAGGAAATTTAATCTAGAAACCCTTTTGGCTTTTATTGATTGTGAAAAGGCTTTCGATAAATTGAAACGCTCCACCTTATGGGAAATTACGGAAAGAAGAGGCTACCCACACCACTTAATCAATAACATTAAATGTCTGTATCAGAATACCTCTGTAATTTTAGAACTAGAAGAAAAATATTCAAAAGAAATAGAAACAAACCAAGGAGTTCGCCAAGGATGCAGCCTTTCCCCAACATTGTTTAACATTTACTTGGATGACGTCATTCGAGAATGGAAGAACAAAATCAGCCTAGGAATTAAGCTTAGAAATGGAGTGTACTTAAATACACTCCTATTTACTGATGATCAAATTTTAATCCAAGAAAGTCAGGATGACTTACAGAGATCTATCCATCAATTAAACCAAACTTGCAAAGGATATAATCTAAAGATTTCAAAAACGAAGACCAAAACGATGGCATTTGTGGGAAAGCATCCTATACGCACTAACATAATTTTGTAAAATACGATGCTGGAACAAGTTAGCCATTTTAAATATTTGGGTTACAACATAACGTTCCTCACAGAAACGGATATAGATGAAAAATTCATAAATACCACAATATATGCGGAAATATTCGGTGAACTCTTAACGATAATACACGCAGAGATACTCTAATGAGGATATATAAAGTAATGGCTGTCCCGTCTCTGTTGTTCGGAAGTGAATGCTGGACTATGAGAGAGAAAGATAAACAGGCGTTACAGTCTGCTGAAATGAAATTCTTGAGATCTGTAAAAAAATGTACCAGACTAGATAAATTCAGAAATTAAGGAAATTCGAAAACAATGAAACGTTCAAGCAATCAATGACAAGGTACAATGATACAGACAGGAATGGTTACATGTGGAAAGAATGGAAGATACTCGCATTCCAAAGCAGGTGTTTAAGTATAGGCCTTAAGGCAGAAGAGACCCAGGAAGACCCCTAAAAAGATGGAATTATTAGAAGCTGGGCCAGGTCATTAAGCTATCCGTGAAGTGGAGAAGGAGAAGGAGAAGGAGAAGGAGAAGGAG